CTCTTGAGCTACAGCACATGAGAGCCAGCTGGTCAGTTGGCAACTTGCCCTTACTCCTGCCCTCCTCATACTGCAATCTGTGGGGACCCCACAATGTTAAGAAAGAGCATATCCCATCCCAGGGCTAGCTAAAATCATCCATTCCAACTGGAATACAAACACACTGCTCCCATCACAGAATCACAGAATGGCCAGGGTTGGAAGGGACCTCAAGGATCATGAATCTCCACCCCCCCTGCCACAGGGGGCCACCATCCTCCCCATTTAATACTAGACCAGGCTGCCCAGTGTTCCATCCAATCTGGCCTGGAACACCTCCAGGGATGGGCATCCACAACCTCTCTGGGCAGCCTGTTCCAGCACCTCACCACTCTCTCTGTAAAGAATTTCTCCTCGACATCCAACCTAAATCTCCCCTCTCTCAACTTAAAACCATTTCCCCTTTTCTTGCTGTTATCAACCCTTTCAAAGAGTTGATTCCCCTCCTGTTTATAAGCTCCCTTTAGGAACTGAAAGTCACCCTGCAGCCTTCTTTTCTCCATCCACAAGCAGACAGCCTAGCTATGGCCCAAGAGCACTGAGTTGGATCAGGAACACTGGAGAAAACGGAGGCTTAACTCTATAAACAGCAAAGGAGAAAGAAGGAACTAGCTGTGGGCTGCTCCTTCTCAAAAGTAAATATAACAGCACTGGGCGTGGGACAGATTTAAACTGGTCACAATTATTAATGAAGCTGGGACAGAGGTTGGCACTAGTACAGATATTAATGAAGTATGCAGAAAAGGACTTGGAAACAGCAGCTGTTTCTCATGCTTGTATAGTTCCTGTAACCACTTCAGCCAGCAGGGGTAGGGGACAGAGATCCTGACTGCAGCTTTTCTCCCGGTTTTGTCAGCAACTTTGCTCTCCAGCTCTGTCCAAGGGTGATGTTTCCCTTAATGCAGAGCAGACGTGCAGGGCAGGCCAGGGCGGCCTTGGCCTTTGGCCGCCCAGAGTAACACTTCAGCGCCACAGCTGCACTGCCACTGGAGCAGGAACTTCAACACTAAATGTCCCTCTTTCCAGTAAAAGATAAGGAAAGGAAATACAAAACAAAACAAAACAAAACAAAAAAAAAAAAAAAAAAAAAAGGAAAAGGAAAAATATATAAAAATAAAATTTGCTAAAAATAAAATTCTTGTTGTTACTGACTGTGCTGGTCCAGGGTCTTGTGTATCATTCCGTGAGCTAGCAAGGGCTGGGAGGAACCACTCGTGAAAACAAGAAAACATACAGTAAAGATGAGGTCCAGCACAAACACAGCTATTCTTCTCCGTGCTGTGCCCACAGCCATGTGAAGTGTATCCTGTAGCCAGAATAGAGCAACAGGAACCAGGGAGTGAACTGTGCAGGACAGAGGATATTGCATTCCCTTGCTAAGGGAAAACCTACCTTCTGGGGCTCTCCAAGCAGCTTCTGCCTGCCCCATACAGCTGTGGTGGAGTGTGGGAGTAACGATAGGCACACCAGTGTTGATTGTGCTGCTCCTTTTCTTCTTAAAGCTCATGTTCTTCTCTTCTAAATTCGGGTTACCCTTTGGTACTATAATTTCCCCTTACCCATCATGAGTCAGGAGGGACTCATAAACTACTTCTAAGCTGTGTAAATATCTATCAGTACAAACTACTGATCACTGCCAAGAAATAGACTGAGTGTCTCAGGACATACAGACTTTTTTTTTATTACATACGCGGGGAAATAGAAGGGAACAAGCAGATAGGATCAAAGTCCTCTCCCTAAAGCAAGAGAAAGCCTCACTGCCCTTATCTCAATCACAGCATCAGCAAGTTTCTCTGACTAATTCCTTTGCCATTCATTACTCCTATGCCCAGCAGACAAAAAACACCTGGCACAGTGCTAATGATGACTACCACCAGTTCCTGAGAGGACGACTATTTTTATTGGCTGCCTTAAATATTTACTGTTTTCATGAAAGTTTTTCTTTTCCTGAAGTTGGTGCTCCAAAGGGAAAAAAAAAAAAAAAAACAACGAAACTTTGAGCTAAGAGAGATGGATTTTTCATGAGTTCCAATTTTTGCCTAACACTTATTTACCAAAGCAGCCATAATCTGCTCAAAGAAACTGTACATTTTTTGTGTAGGTAGAACTACAGAGCCGAACACAAGGAGAAAAGTAGATGCCAATTTCCTCTACCACAATTCTGAGCTCTGGCTCTGTTGAGCAGATAAATCCAGTTGCAGATGAACAAACATAGTCTGTTGACTGCTGCAGATATACTGAATGAGAGGTTAAATGAGTCAAGCTTTTATTATGATGAAGGCTTAAAACATCCAGATGGTATGCTCTCAGGAAAAGTGTGTTGGCTCTCATTTTATTTCCAAGATATTTCAGCATGAAAGAAAACAAATGTTACTGCATTTCTTACACGAATTCCTTTCTTTCCTCATATAATTCTGCATATAAAAGAGTTCTAAGAATAGTAAGCATTATAACTCCTAAAATCCAAAAAGTTTGAGATAAGAAAGGATATTTTTTGCTGTCACTCCTAAACGTTGTTATCAACTGGGTGTTTAGATGTAACTGTTGTTGGTATGCGTGTAATTGAAAGCGCTTTTACAAAGAAGCCTACCAGACTTCTGTATATACATATGGATCTATATGGTGTAAGTAGTGTTGTCTGTACCACATAGACATTCAGATGGCATAAGAATGGGGAGTTTTGAATCTCTCCATTTATTTATTCCTGATCTAATGGGATTTAAACTTTGAAGGAGATTGCTGAACTTTGAGACTGTGCAGGATATCAGGTCTTGAGCCATCTTGTAGGCTTCAAACTCAAAAATCTGCAAAACTTCGAGTTCTGTTTCCAGGATTCGAATGCTGAATTCTGGTCCTTCCTCACCCCTCTGTCTGCATTGGCTCTCAGCTACAACTTGCATTAACTTGCATTCATTTTTCCTCTTTTTCCCTTTCTGCTTTTTCACTGCTCGCTCCTCTCTCTTAAAATACAAATAGTTAAATAGAACTGTTCTTATCATCTTAAAAGGAAAATGGGAAGTAATTCTTTTTGTTTGTTTTTTTACAAAATTTTTATTTAAAAAATCCTCAACATTATGACTAAACTCAAAGATAACTATCTGACATCAGGAGTCAATTGGAAGTACTCGCGTGACACAATTTGCGTAACCTCAAATTGATTTTTGTTGTGCTCCTTTCAAATTAATTATGTTACACACATGAGACTCCTCCTGGCACTCCTTAACATCTGGATCCCTTTGTTATGTATTTTACCCAGAAGTCTGCACGCTTTTTTGGACCAAGTGATTATTTCCCTGGATAAGTTTCTACTGAGGTGAATTTTCATTGTTTCTCTCATTATTTTTTCCCTTCTCACTACAGGGAAAAATTTATTTAACTCTTACATAAACATAAAGGAGCATTAAGTACTGTTAAACTTCTGCTAGTTGTACTTGGAAAAAAGGTGCCAAGGAATTATAACTGTAGCTTTGTTAAGAAAGGCCAGTGGTTGGTTTGAACAACCTGCACAAAGTCTCGCTGTCCTACTTTTTCTTCTCAGATTTAAATTCTTATTCTGTGGCCTATTTTTATCATTTCACACTGATGAGAGATGGATGATAGGAAGCTTGATGGAGATCTCTTTTCCAGTACGAATCAAATTTTTCTTCCATCTACAACCAGAAAACGTTTTTCAAATCAAACACTGTGTGTATGAGTTCTAGCTTATGTTGGGAAACATTAAGAAGTTATTTTTGACACAGAAACAGAAAAATATGCAAATAATGCATTTACTGGAGTTTAATCAGTATCCCTCCTTTGGGTCATTCGCATCCATTAGCTTAGAGCTATGACGTTTTAGGAGTCAGGTTGGGTTGTGCCAATAGTTTCCTATATTCCTTAACTGTTTCATATTCTAACAAATTTTAAGAAGACATTTTTAGAAGAAACAACTTCAGTGATTGTACTCTCAGGGATTGCAAGGGATCACTATTGAAGCAAGTTGCAGATAAAGAGATTCAGGATCCTGGAAGCCTGTTTAATCCCAATACACTGCCTTCATTCTCAGACACACGGTAGTATGGAAGCCACCAAATAGATCAAACACTTGATTAACTGTCAAAGATTTCCAGGAAAGTGACTTCCAAGTAGTGACTTCCATGCTGTTTACATTTTATGCAATTTAAAACAGTTGAAAAAGAAAGGGAGAAAGCCCCACTATCCTACTGTGATTGCCTAGAGGAGTATTGTGGTCTGTAAATAACTTCAGCTTCTCAGATATTGTATTCTACCCCTGGCAGCAGTTACACTTAGAAAAGAATGAAAATACTTACTTAAGTGCAAAAGCCTGTTTAAAAAGTTTAAAATGGTTAAGAAGTTGTTAACCATTTCTTTCAAGGCGTTAAATAATGCCCAACTGTCCACTGAAGTCAAACTACCACTGAATTAAATCAGTGTAGTCTGTTTGTAGATGCAAAATGAGCTCCTCACTGTTTTGTCACTTGGGACAGTTGTAATGCAGAAGTGTAAGAAATAGTAGTTGCATTAACCACAGAAGAAACAGAAGTCTCACATTTGGCTGTTTCTGAAATTGTCAGGATGCTTGTAGTTTTTCTCATAACAAAACATTCACTTTGTGTTCTTCTCAGTACAATGCTTAATCAGTACTTGAAAAATTACCATTATATGGTCTTCTCTTTACTAAGGCTGGCTGTCAGATTATTCTTAGATTCTCACATTAATTCCTTTCATAATACTATTTTCCATATAAAGAGTTCCTGTAGTAACTATGCATATTCCACATGATTGAAAAAGGAGTTGTTTGGTTTGCCCATACGCAAAGAAGTGGCCCTCTCTCTTTCATAAGATGTGGTTGATGTTGGAAAAGAGTTTAACATCATCACATTCATCTGCTTTGATATTCTGGTGGGAACATTTGACCACTTCCTGCCACTCAAGTCCCCAGATGTTGATTATAACCTGCAAGAAGTCCAAGCTGAAGATTGAGATTTTGAGAAAATATTATATTCCGCCCTAATAAAGTTATAAAGATTGGGTTGTTGATTTTTTTTGGAGTGGTTTGTTAACAAACTGCATTGTGCCAAGGTAGGATTGCTCAGCACCACAACAATACCTGTATCATTAAATTATCAGTTAAAATTCCTCAGTGAAGCCAAATTAGATGCGCCTTCATCTCACTTTGCTTTTTATCCACATATACTCTTGTAGATTGGATCTAGCTGGGTAGAAAAGGAACCAGAGACATCTGAAGAGAATTAGATAATTTCAGGTTCTCCCCGTTTAGTTACGCTTGTAGGAAAGATAAATCATCCACAGATTCAAATGATTGTACAAATGTTCCACTCATGGCATTCAACTGTGCTTCAACAAAACAGTAAAACGAGTATTAGAGATGTCCTCACCTTGTGTGCATCACAGTGTCTGTATATGAGAACTGAAATATCACAAAGCACATTGAAGACTGAGAGGATAGCTTTCATTTGAATTTAATGAGGCAGTAATAATAACGTAAGACAAATTAAATCATATCTTACTGAAATTCTCCATTCTGAAATGAATATTAATGACATGATGAATCTGAGTCGCAGCATAATATGGCATGTTCCACTGTCTGATTCTAAAAATGGTTGAAAAAAAGCTAAAGCCACACTATGCTGTAAAATATATACCTATAGAAAAAGGAAATTACTTTTAGACATAGATATTTTGCTGTCTCTCAGATGCTACAGTACTACATCTTTTGTAACAGTGAGGCTGTGGCATTGATGAAGAAAAAGTTGTAGATCCAGAACTAAAGACTACTCATCTAAATAGACTTATTCATCTAAATAAGTGCTGTTGGGGTTGAGTCCAGGAACTCTATCAGAATAATACTAGAAAAATATATTTAAATTACTTCACAACAATTAATTGAGAAATCTAATGATTTCCTTTCATAAGGATTTATAATATTGCACCACTAAAGATGATTTAATATTCAAAATTATGTCATGCCAGCACAAAACCTTTGAAGGGAGGCAAATCTTACAAGTATCCATTTAATTGCCTCATCCAGACCCCATGGATTATACCTATAAAGCAGACTGACAATCAATTTTAGGGAAATGTTGAAGCAATACTGTGCCATCTCTGCTACCTTTTACCTTCCTGTAGTTAAGTGACCATTATAGGTTACAACCTCATGTCATAAATCTGTTTTTCCCTCCACTTCGATCTTTTGCAGTTTTCAGTTAGACACGGGTTAAGCAGCTCAAATGTTAATCTACAGGAATCTTCAAGTGGCAAAGCAGTGCTTCTTAGGGCAGATTTGTGTGCCCCCCTAATCACATACATCACTGTGGATCCACCATCTGATATGACCTTTTCTGTTGTCTGTTCAGGTGAGAATAAAAGGGTGCTCCTTATTCCAACAGTCATAGGCTCACACAAGGCAGAAGCTCTGCCAGGACCAGTCATTGAACAGCTACAGGCACTCTGTCCAAGGGAATCCAGTGGCAAAGTGAAGATTTAGTGTCACTTCTCCCTGTTCCATTGTTGTTAGATCTCTTCCACAGTATTAGAAAGCAAGTATTACCCCTTGTGTCTAGCCAACAAGGACAGACATTACACAGTTGAATCAGAAAATAAATATGGATACCAGATGATCTGGGGCAGCTATGCAGAAGGGAAGATGGGAATAGCTGCTATACAAACCTTAGAATTTCAAGTATTTATGACAAATCTTGAAAATTCCCATTTTCATAATGGTAAGAAGTCTGTTCTTCCGTATCTTGAGTCACTTGCTTTTGCTTTCTCCATTCCCTTCTTTGTATTTCACTGTTTTGACTGGTAGCACCATATGTTTTCTTTGCACTTACAAAAGTTTCATTGTTCATCTCAGTTTCTTCGGCCAGTTCATCCTGATCAATTATACCACATTTCTCTTCATTCAGGTTTTCAGGGTCAGCCCATTCCTGCTTCTCCCCAGAAGCAAAAATAGCATAGAATATTACTCCACTGTAGTGCACCAGGGCTGCGATCAGAAAGACATTTTGCCATTCTTCGCGGGTCTGAAAAAAGGATTCAGGTCTCGTTAAGTTTGTGGTAAAAAGAAATATTAATGTCTGAACTATACTATGAATTAGCACATACTGATCTTTGTTTGATTCCTGATGTAACAGATAACACAATTTATGAGATGTGAATATTTTAAATTTCATATCAAGAGCTAATACAATAGGAAAAGGGACAAGAAATATTCATGGAAAAGCAGATCTCTCCCTAAAACCTGAGTTATTTGGTGATTGCTCAGGAACCCTACTATGGATGCCTTGCAGAGGTGTTTCCTGAGTAAGCCTGTTAAGAATTCACTAGTAGCATGAGGAAATTGAAGAGATTCAGCCTGTGGTGGTATAAAATAGTATCTCCCTACACAGATAATTAGTTTACAACAGCTGAGAATCCAGCCTCTGCACTGTTGTAGAAGTGAATTTTTAAAACAACAATAATAGAAAACAGCTGAAGATTAATGATGAAATTGAGTTCCCAGGAAAATTGGAAATGTGTTAATTTTCACTGCGTAGAACAATCCTTTCCCTAGGAAACATTACCTTGTGTTTTGTCATTGCACCAACGATGAGTGGGCACACCATGCCCGACAGCGTCCCCACACCATTGGAGATCCCCATCAGGATGCTGGCATAACGTGGGGCTATGTCCAAGTGATTCACATTGAATCCTACAACATACCAGAGACAACAGTCAACTTTGTGCTACTGGGCCAATACAGTTTTCTCTAGCTGTTCTGGCTAAGGACGCTTTCTGGAAAGCATCATGTTTGTAATATGTATTTTTCTTTTTAAAAAGATATATTTTAATTTATGTAGTAGTGTTTTTTAAACATATTTTCCAATTCTTTAAGTTATATCTAATGAAACAAAACAAGAAATATATAAAATATATAAACCAGTCAGAAAATTAGTTGTCATGACTGTAGCACATCTTCTTGGTAAACATTTCATTGGAAAATGAGAGAGTAAAAATCAGCTCAGATAATTATCATGCTTTAGGTGATGAAAATTAGTCATAAGTGCTACGGATGATCACTAGAAAGGATGATGAATTTCAAATCCATGTGATTAAATACTGTAAAAAAGCTGAGTGCTGGGAAAATTCTGCAATATAATTGATTGATAGAAGCTGCCTGCCATGCAAGCACCTCATCGCTGAGCAGCGCAAATACTTCCCATCAGTGTAACCCTGAAAAGATGGAAGATCAGCAGTTATTTTGTTTTGTTCAATAGATCCATTTCTTGGCAGTCTTCCAGGAGGTGGGCTTTCATCTTCATAGGAAGATGTGTCACTTTTAATAGCAGAGATACTGGTGGAACTACAAAGCCAGAGAATGGTAAGCCTCAGAAAATGGTAGAGGCATCAGTTCAGATTAACAGGGTTGATTATAGGATGTAACAGAGACACAGCTGGCCTAGGAAACACAAACTGGCAGATAGGGTTAGCAGTGGGATTGCAACGAGTATCCCTTGAGCTCATTTCAGAGTAAATCTGTCTCCTTCTTTTAAGGGATACTCATTATGGAAGGTGGCCACCACTGTAAACGGCACTAGCACAAGGCTGGTATGAACTAGAAACAAAACAGAGCAGGTTCTTTCAAAGCTTCATGTCCTACACGCAACACCTTTCCTAGATACTGAAATAAATTAATTCTGATATAGGAAGTAGTAGAGAACACTCCATAAGTAGCCATGCTAAAAGCAAACAACAATAAAATGACAACAGGAACAACACTGAGGGTAACATTCCTTTTGTCAGTAATAAGGAAATGAATAATAAGATTAATTCTTACCTGAAATTGCAAAGCCACTGAAACCTACAGCTAACACCAGAAAAGAAATAGCCACGCCTTTTGTATGAGAATAACCAACCACCAAAAGCAAGGTTGCTTCCATCCCAAAGCCTGAAAATTAAACATATGGACATAAATTACATTGCAGGAACATGTGAATGTTTACTGTTGGGAATATACTTGCTGGAATATTTTAATATCTTTTATTGAGAATATGTTTTTTACTCTCCCTCCCCTGTGTAAATGAGCTGAGTGATAAAATAAATTGACTCATCAAGCAGTATAGAGAAATAATGAGAAAGTGATTCTCTATGAAACACTGTAAAATTCACAAAACAAAACAAAAAAAAGGGGGTGGGGGAAGGAGAGAAACATTTCTTGTCTTCAATTTCTTATGGCTGTGGTGAAGTGGGAAGTTCTTGGCAGATGGAAAAAAAGACTTTTTCAGACAAGTGTGTCAGCAACAGAAGAGGACACGCCTGGGTATCACAGAAAACTTCCAGGCTTTGCCTTTGGTGGGAATCAACATTTCCTAATATTTAACTTTACAATCCTTCTGTTTGTTGGTTTTTATTTGTTTGTTTGTTTTTTAAATAACGCTGAAAATAAACCTTGAAATACAATTAATAAAAGAATCCTTTGTGAAGATGTATAGCCAAGCACTGCAGGCTTCTCTATTTCAGGCACCCCATGCCAGCCATAAATAATGTAAGCCAGAAGCTAGAAGAAAAGCATGACTCCACAGTCATGCTACAGTTTAGCATCTGTACAGTTTACAGATTTGCCAATTACATGCAGATCCCATTGATTTTTCAGTTCCAATGACCAATCTAGAAATAAACTATTTCGTGCTCAGCAAAAATGAGTTTGTCCATCCATCATGTTTCTTTCAGCTGATCTCTGCAGCCTGAATTTGCCAGTGGATGCTTCTGGAAGTGGAACACAGGAACACAGCCAGTTAATGCAGAGTTGTGAAGGGGTTCCTGCAGCACCACAGGATGTAGCTAGCTGTGGCAAATCAAGTTTTCAGCATGAGGCCTATTTTATCATAATCTCTTCTGAGCCAGTCTTCATTGCCCTTCTAATTATTAACAACTTGTCTTACCTCCTCTCTTTTTAAAGGCATGCTTGTATAAGTAAGGGCTTAGAGCATAAGGATGTCTAATATCAGCTTGCAATTAAATACTCCAGATTAACCAGCTGCAAATGCAGACTAGAGTAATTTTCTCATGTTGCAACAAAACATTGGCCGAACTATGATATCTACACCAGGTGCAGCACACAACTGAAGTACTATATTTTGGGAATCCAGTAGTACCTCCACAGTTCATGACCTTCCTTACGGTGGTAGTAGTTAAAATCTTCCTGCTCCGTAAGAAGTCAGCTATCTGCCCTCCAATGGGCACAATGATTGTCATGACCATGTGGGGAACTGCAGACAAAAGGCCAACCTGAAATTACAAAAGTAAGTGCTTACTGCTCATATCCTTCCTTGGGATTTAGGGAGAAAAGAACAGGAATCATATATATAGGACACATCTTTAGCATACATCCTTGTGTGGACTGTGAACTTTTCTTCAACAGAATCTGCAGCAAAGACCTGGCTGACCTTAAGCTACCCTTGTCCCAGCTTTAGGGATTTCCAGGAGCATGAGAGACTCCAGCATGCTTCCTATCCAGGCAGTGGTAGCTTTTCTTCCAGCTCTGAGCATATGTACACAAGCTATAATGGGGCTCAAGCTATAATAAGAAGGAAAAAAAGAGAATTCTGTCTAAAAATTCTGGAGTTGGTGCTCTAGAGGAATTTTCTCTCTCCAATGGCCAGCACTGGAGTGCAAGACTACTAAGTTTAGCTCATTAAAGTAGATACCCAAAGTGGGGTGATGTGAATATCTCCTCCCTGTCCTGGAGGAGAAGGCATAGCACAGGAATCTCACCATAGAAATATCATGCAGTGTCTCTGCTTTTTTGGTGGTTGCTCTGAAGAATGGCATAGAGGACTGCAAATATTTTCTGTTGTAGATACCAGAAAGCACTTACTTATATGTCATACAGTAAAGTGTTCTGTCTCTCAGTTTACAACTGCTTTTACGTATTTTTATTATTCTGTTCTCAAGGAGATCCTTTCTGCATAGAGAGTCAGTTTCTTGATGCTATTATAATGAAGGCAGCACGTGTGCATTGCATGGGCAATAACTATATACAGTATAAAACATGAAATTATATTAGAATCTTACAAATAAGCATACATTTGAGGTAATGCATATACTTCTGCTCTTATGGTAGTAGGACCTATCAATTGATGCTCATTTTATCACATTTTCTGGCAGAGTTCTTACTTTTTCTGTAGGCTCTGGTACTTATCCCAAATACAAGAAAAGACTCTATTCTGTGGCCAGCACATCATCTTATAGAGGCTTAACTCTGAAGAATTCAGTAGGAATTCTGAGTTTTACTTTCCTCACACTAACACTAAATCAGCTTTACATTTGTTTTTAATTAGTGAACATTCTAATATTTGTGAAAGACAACTGAGAATAAACAAATCTACTTTCTCTTAATAACCCAGTTCTTCATACCATTGCTACAGTAGGCCATTCAGAGTGTCATTACCCTGAATAAATAATTATTGCTATAATCAAATAGCATGTTACTATATGGAAATTATTATATAACAAGTAGGTTTTTTAAAAGGAAAGTTGGAAGAACTTTCTCGTACAACCACTCCACAGTCCACATACACGCTCTAAAGGGAGATTGCAGCAATATTGGCTTTAATGAAGTGGCAGGAAATATCAATCCATGGAAAATTTTACCCCTGATTGTCAATGAAATGTACTGAAAAAGAAAGAAAAGGAGGAAAACCATTGCCTGCCACGTACTGCCAAGCCACCAGCACTTTAAGGAAAAAAAAAAAAAAAGTGCATTTCTATTTACTCACTTGCTGGTTTCTATGAAGTGTTTCTTTGTTACCAGTGAAAGAAATTCGTCCTTTCTTTCTTTTTGCTAATAATTTGATGCTAGCATGTTTTCATGTCTATCAAGTCTGTAAACGTATGTCATCCCAGTTACCTGCAATAATCTACTGACATGACTGCACTGACATCTGGGCATGTCATCCTTTGTCTCCTAGAGTGGAGTCTGAAGGTTACTGCTTCATCTTAGACATTTACCTTACTTATTGCAAATCCAAAGACTTCTTCAAAGTAAGCAGGCTGACTTATAAGGAGCAAATAGAAGGTCCAGCTTCTACAAAAGTTAGCCACAATGATTGCATAAACTGGCATTGAAGTGAAAAATCTTTTCCAGGGAGTACTAAATTTCTAGGTGAAAAAAGGAGAAAAACAGTAGGTAGAAAGTTTCTTCAGTAACAGGACTCTCCATTATATTGCATAAAATTTACATTGCAAATTGCTTACAATGTCAGCCTGAATTAACGGCGGAAGAAGAGAGACAGAAAAACTTTCTTGGAATCATTAAGATTTTTAGGATAACTACTGTGCTATTATTGCTCTGCTCACTGAAATCACACAATTCTGTTCTGAAATCCTGCTGTTGGGATAACAGGATCAATAACAGAGTCAAAGAATACTGGAGGAAATATTCTTCTGTTCCCCACTCTCTGTCATAACAAGGTTTGAGACGGTCCTACAAAGGGCTTATGAAAAAAGTGTTCTTCAAACTAAGAAACACTTAGTAGCACACTAGCAGGCTACTACTTCCTTCAACCTAATTCATTTCATTCAGCAAAAAGGCTTGTAGTAGAGGATTTAATTCATATAATCTGCTTTCAGCATTTCCAATTTACATTTATGCCTAAATATTCCATACAGCAGGAGCAAAAAAAAAGACATCTATTCACTTGAAATAAATATCAAATCAGAAGCCTGAATAAGTAACTATTGCAATATTCGTTACTATTCTCCTTTCTTTAAAATAGTAGCTGTGTTCCACAGGTAACTGTGGTTACATGACTGTCTGCAGTCATGTGTGGACACATGATGATGCAGTCAAATCTCCATGTAGCAAGGGCAAAATCATGACTTGATACAAGTGTGTATGTCTCCAAACAGTGACTTCAGCCAAACCTCAGTAGCATGTCCAAAAGGGGGGCCTGATACTTTATGCTTTCTCTTACAGTTATCTAAAACATGTAGAGGATAGGGTTTGGAGAGTTGACCTTTTTTTTTCTTTTTTTTTTCCCCAGAATGTTTAATAGTAAAGCCAAGGAGGGGTAATGTATTGAGAAAAATCTTTGTTTTTTGCCTATAGCAATAATGAGTTACTGTAAGAAATAATGTAATACTTAAAGGGATAGTGTTTGGCAGGAAAATAAGTTTTGCTTGCAAGTTCCCAGGATCCTCCTGAGGAGAGAAGTCTTAATACAGAGTACTGAACTATTGTGTGAGAGAGCAGGGCAGAAGTCCCAGTCTGACTGAGAATTTCAGTCATCCTTGGCAGGAGTCCATAAGGCAGCAAGGTAATTTAACATCCAGAGCCAGATCCTTATTATGGTACTTCCATTAGTTTGGGGACTTACTTTAGAACAAGTCTGAAAATTGCTCAAGAACATACCAGAATGTGTTGTTTCCTACTCTCCCCATCCCATTCCTCTCCATAGACTAAGGATGCTGTGTAAACCAAGAGTTGAAACAGCCCTACAGGTTTTGCCTGTTGCTGAATTTATCCTGTACACTTGCATGAGCCTCATCCTGCATTCTTCATAAAACAAACAGCCCCTAAACTTCAACAGAAATAGTTCTGCTGTTCTTATGAAGCTAGCTGTATCTATCCCATTATGTGCTGGTGTTACACAAAGAGCTCACAAATTATAAAAGCCTTTTTTTACTTACGCCTGCATTAGCAAGGCTGGCTCCTTCTCCAATACTTGTTTCTATATATACCCTTTCTTCTCTGGTTATTGTCGGGTGTGCAGCTGGACTCTCATAGGCATGAAGCAGCCAGAACATGTACCAAACAATCCCAAACATTCCTAGAGAGGCAGGAAAAGCAAAACTCAGTTTCAAAAGCCAGTTAAGCCATACTTCTAAATCTAAAAGTGTTAAGGTGATTTCAACAGCCAATTAAACCAAATCTCCATTAAAAAATATGCACAGAGAAGGGAGAAAAAATGATTCCCAACTCTGTACATACAAATGCTTGTTTGCAAAGTGTTTGAGCGTTTTGTTGCTCATATGACACAGTATGTGTAGGGCAGAAAAAAAGTAGAAACAAAGTTTATGCGAACTGAGAGAAGAAAATAACAGAATGATCTTAACATGTTCACATCTGCATACAAAGGCTTCACAACCAGAGAAGACAGAAAACTCATCTCAACTGCATGGGACAGATTTTTCAAGGCACAAGGTTTCTGAAGCTTCCTTTCAGCAGCATATGTTGACCCTTATGCCGTATAGGGTGCTCTGGGATACGTATCACTTGAGTGCTTGTGTTGCAGAGCAACCTGCACAACTGTACTCAGCCCTGTCATGGGATGACTACATGTCACTTCTACCAAGCACACTACAGAAAGGCAGAAAGTTTTTCTTGTTGGTCCTTTATACCATGGGCTGTAGTCTGGTCATTACAATTAAAAAACATACTGCAACAGATTACAGAACAAAAGTTTTCAGAAGCTGCCATAAACAGAGAATAATTGGGAAGACCCACTTGCAACCACTTCATTCATCAGAACAGCTTTGATCCATATCCATCACACAAGCTTAACAAAACTGTAGGCAATACCAGTTGAGTAGAGGAGATTCTTTATGTTAACAACTCACCATAAATATAGAAGACTGATGACCATCCTATATACTGTACTAGCACTCCTGCCAATGGCATGGCGACCACTGCACCTGCATATGACCCTGAGGAGAAAAAAGGATTAAGAAAACACAACAGCAATGTTAAATGAGTCCAGTTCTTACTACAGGCTGGCATCTTTTTTCTTTTTTTTTTTTTTTTTGTGTGTGAACATTTGATGGGATGGCAGCTGTGATATTTTGACTGCGATAGAGAGACAGGCCCTTTGCTGGAGTGTGATCATCCGGCTCATTCTGCAGCCAGAAGGAATGTGGTAACCTAGGTAAAAGGGATTCGCAAAGCTGACACTAATGGCGTACCACCACACAGGTGTAATTTAAGATCTGAACAGGGGATTTCCACTTAACCCTATGGCATATGAAGGAAACCTCAGAGAAGCCAACAGCTTGAGTTTCAGAAGCCCTCATGGTGTCCAGAAAGCCCGATGGCTGCCGATATGCTGAGAAGTTTCTGTCATGACTCTAGCCCCACCACCCGACAAGCACTGCAAGTGGAGGCTCACATCAACCCTGAGTCTGTTTAACCGCGTTTAGTTTATGCCAGTGGCATGAACAAACACACAGAATAAATAGCCTAATGTTGTCACAGGACAATTTAAAAAAAAAAAAAAAAAAAGGAAAAAAGTGAGCTATGCCAAGGTTTTCAGATTGGGAAACATGCATTACTGGCTAAATAAATTTCTGAATGACTTGCAGAAAGAACTGAGAATTTAAGTACTTGGAAAGAAATTTCAATGACGATTCCAAGGAGGATTCATGTAATCTGGACATTTGGCATCAGCACAAAATAATGACATGTGAGAAGTGTTGCTTTGAATTACTTTAGGAAATAAGATACACATACTTTCGACCTTATTATATACTTTGTTAACGAATACCTATAACCTAAAACTACAGGCAAATGCAGAAGTACTCTTCTCTCCATTCATTAGCAAACACTTCTCGTTGCAGTGACTCTTTGTATAATTAATTCAGTGTTCTTGCAGAAGTAGCAAGCCCCAGGCAAGAAAATAGAGAAACTAGGAACACGGGTAACACAGGACTTCATAATCTTTCCATCATCTCTGTTCACCTTACAAGAGCGAAAGAGAGAACTGATGATCTGTAGCAACTGAAATGGGTGCTGAGCTATGGATGGATCTTTATCTGCTGGGGTTTCAGCATTGAGTGTGGAGAAACCTTTCTTTTAGTCTGTTCCTCTGCAGAAATTTGAAACTCCCTAGTAATCACTAAATACCAGAGTCATTTGTAGTAAAAGTAGCATTCCCAGAGTATTAAAAGAAAACACATTTTTTTTAATTTTTTTTTCATTTCAGTCTTTTTTTTTTTTCCCTACTATTCCACATGCATTTTAGCCCTGCATTTTCCCAAGCTTTTCAGTTTCACTGCTAACAGACAATAATTTCCTGTGACTTTTATATTCTCTATTACATATTCTCTCTCACAGACATTTGTCTTCAGCTGGCTTTAACTCACCAACGCTTATTTTCTTTGTTTTTTCTTCCTCCATTCTCAGCTGCTCACTTTTCAAAGAATTACTATTTCTGATTTGTCTTCAGTATTATTAAACACCCTCTCACTGTTCTGAGTTCCCTTTTAGAATCATAGAATCTTAGAATCACAAGGTTGGAAATGACCTATAAGATCATGTAGTCCAACCATCTCCTCATCACCATTGCCACCACAAGCACTAAACCATATCACGCAGCACATCGTCCAGACACCTCTTGAACACTGCCATGGACGGCGACTCCACCACCTCTCTGGGCAGCCATTCCAGTGCCTGACCACTCTCTGAGAGAAGAAGTTCTTCCTTATGTCTAACATAAATCTCCTCTGATACAACTTGAGGCCATTACCCCATGTCCTGCTCGTTGCCTGGGAGAAGAGGCCAAATCCTCTTCACCACAACCTCCTTTCAGGAGGTTGTAGAAGTGTACAAGTGGGAAAGGACAAGGCAAATGGAGATGTGTGCTTTAGAGGATAATAACAGACCAAAGTTATTGAGTAGGACTTTTCCTTCACTCTCACAATGGCCCACCTTAAATCACACCACAATCGTTTCTGCTCCATACTCTGGACCTTCTAGGGTATGAGAATGGAGGAGGTGCATTTGGGTTATGCCTTATCTTCCTCCCATTTAGCCTTTTATTCAAATCCACCATGAAGTCAGTAAGAAGATACAAGCATTCACAGCTTTCCCTGAAATCAGCAGCTAGGCTAGCCTCTGAAATGAGATGAAGAAATGAAAGGGCTAGAAAGGCATGAGAATCAAGGTAGTCTTCTCCGGAAAGAAAATGTGATAGTGCAGAGTGATCGGCAGCATTTCTTTTCAAAACCTGCTACCCAGAAGATAGAATTAAAAGAAGAAAAACTCTTTATTCTTAATATGGATGTGGATGAAAAGAGAACAAGATGTAAAACTCAGTATTTTTCCTGCTCCATGCTTCATAGAAAGATCTAAGGCTCTTGTCAGGCTAAAAATTGAATGAAAGAATTTTATTTCTCCCATCTTTCCATTGGATTCGTTTTCCCAAAGCCTTCTGAAATTTCCTGCAAGCCACCTTCTAGAAGTCTGTCTGCCAGTAGTAGGAAAGACCCAGTGAGCAGAACAAAGAACAAGACTGACCAAGCCCTCAAGTTGTTTAAAATAGTTGTTAAGTGCATGCTTAATTAAATAGTCAGTTCAGTGCATACAGCAGATAGAACACTTAAAGACTGAGCAAATGAAAAAAAAAAAAAGTGAACCATAAAATGAATAATATATATGTCAATACACTCATAAGCCTATCAACTTACCACAGAACGATGTCGTTGCCAACCTGCTTCTCTCCAGTGGAGGAGCCCATTTACTCCACATCCCATGGCAGGCTGGGTAGGTGACACCCTGGCAGACATTTCACACATCATATGGTTTGCTTTCACTGCATTCCTACTTTAAGCAGTTGCTGAAAGAGTTAACCTTTCTAGCTCATTGTCACTACATCGGAAGGGTTAAAATAAGCCTGGGAGAGATTTCCTTTGGGGAGTGTGAAGATGGAAACTAACTTAAATGGTATGGTGTCCTGGGTTAAAAATGCTGCTTAGTGCATGCAGTGGATGGCTTAAATAGGCAGAACTAGGTCTATCTGCAGCACTATTAATCTATTATCTTAAGCTCCTTTTAAGATAAATTTAAAAACATGAATCAACATAAGAAAAAAAATCATCACTGTAAAAATACCAATGCAAAAAAAAAAAAAAAGGAGGTAACAAGTAGAACTGTAGATAGATCAGAAAACCTGACCAAAATGTTTCAAACTTTTTTTAAAAACCAAATTTCCCCAAATGAAACTGGTGAATGTTCTTACCTCTACCAGACCTTGCAGAATTCTTACAAACATCACACAGCCGTAATGTACTCTTGCTGCAGAAGGGATGAACATGTTCAGTGTAGATGTTAGAAAAATAGCTGCTCCAAACACCCTTTGAAAAAAGTATCACAAAAGAGAATGTAATTATTATCTGCTTTTCAGAAGCAACGTTGTTCTCAGGTGCAATCTCAAAGACAACTTCTCCACTGCCCACCAAGTCACCGATAATTGTAAATTTACCTTATTGGCAAAAGGGGTAAATACACATAATGTCACTACATTTTCTTTCCCGAATGAGATAGGAGTTTTATGCATATTTAAACAAAGGTTTTGTTTTATTCCTCTATCTCAGAGGATGAGACTTTGGTGTAGTTGCTGGTGGCTAAGCTGTTTACACAAGCCCTGAACTGAGAGCATTATTCCTATTCTGGGAAGTACTTGAATTCTTTTGTATCGGTAGGGTTTGATTTAAATCAGGTAAAGTCTTGTTCGAGTGCCTTACTGAAATGTGGGAGCGTGCTGATTATTTCCTCTTCCTGCAGCTTAAACTCATAACAGCACAGTTTGAGATCAACTCCTTCCCAACATCAGTTCTCTAAATAATAGATAAAGCGTTCTTTCCAACTGTAGCATAGAAGGGGTGCTTCCTCAAGAGAGCTTCTGGGAAAGACATGATACGAACATTTTGTTCCCTGCTTGGGAAGAACACTTCCTGCAGCTGGGTGCAAGTCAGCCAGGGCTCTCCATGCATGGGAGCCTTTGGGAAATCTTTTGCAGCCTTCCAGAGGTTACCATCCATTAGAAAAATGGGAAGCAGAAAACTCTGCGGTAGTTACAGATCCAAGAAACATCCTCAAAACTTCAGAACACTCAGAGGCCCTGGGCATACGCTCAGAGCTGGGTCTGTCTCATTCCCCACAGTGTATGGGAGCTCTTCCCTGTAGAGACACGGGCTTTTCTCAGCTTAACTGAAGAGCAGTGCAAACTTAATGCATTGCATTAATAATAAACAATAGTGACGATAGACATGATGGACAGCTAGGCCACAGCACAGTCATTTCAGTACCAGATGGTTGCAGGCTTGCATACTTTTTTCACCCAGCTGATCGAAGTCTCAGGTTCCCTTTTTGTACCACAGACAGGGTTCAGTATCTGCCACATTCTGAATATCAAGAGTTCATGACTCCAACATCTTTGGAAGATGATATGCAGGAGGATCCCCTCTCAGATTCTCTCACACCACCGAAAACTATTAGAACTGTCAGAAAGAGTTCATTCTGCAGATAGAAAGCTGCACTGGCTGACGGCCCTGGGAATCACAGCATGTTAGAAGATGGGAGGTTGGATCAGAACAGCCTTGTCTTATCCCAAGACTGAGGGTCACACCTAGGTTTCATCTCTCCCTTGCAGCAGAGGTCCTCAGCTCCTGGCTGCACTGATGCTAGCTGGCAGCAACTGCTCTGTGAGGACTGCAGTTCACATTCCTTTTCAAACTGCTCAAACTCACTGGTGTTGAACAGTTCTGAATTGGCTTATTATGCCTGTGCCATTTAAAAAATGACAGATGACACATTAAGCTTCATTCTGATATAGGAATGATATTAGATATTTAAACTGAAATAATGGCAGCAGAAATATTTTCTCCTTTTTGATTTTTCTGCCAAAGACATATGCAGATCTCACTATGTATGGCTATTTATCATCTTGCATTGAAAAATATTCATAAACTTTTAAAACCTTCTGATCTCACGAGCATTTTTCTTCTTTTTTTAAAAAAAAAAAACATTCACAGGAAATATACATCACTTCATATTTTAAATCCAAGTTTATGATTGTTAATTATGAGGAATTAATGATAGCATTATAGCCCAAAGAATCCACAGTCAGAGATCAACGTTGTTTTTTCTGATCCTGGACACCTCTTGACAAAAGCAGCAGCTCATGCCTGGACAGCTCATAACCCAAGTGACAGGAAAGCAATCAACACATGAACACAAAAGCAAAGAAACTGAGCAAAGCTGACAGAGGGAAGTGACAAAGGAATGAATTTGTATGGAAACTAGTCTGAAAATCTGAAGTGGTATGCAAAGCCTGTGATTGCGTCCTGACATTTAGGAGGCTGCTTTCAAAGCCAAATAAGCATTTAGCTAAGAAATGAGCATCACTGAGAGCTCTGTTATGGTCAGTGAAGAGTTTTGCACCTTGCATCTTCCTTGGCATGAGTAGAGTTATTGGTTATGTTATCCTAGAGCTACTGGCCATCTCAGTGAACTACGGCAAATTAAGTAGAAAAATAAGTTATAGAGCAAGCGGAAGAATGAATAAGCCATAAGAAAGAGAACATGTTTTACTACCCAACCAGCTAGCTCTCAGGATTGAGTTTCTAATCTTTGCTACTTCAATTAATGCCAACTCCTAACACACCCAGGTTGTAAATGCATCATTTACGCTGTGTTGGAACCAGCTACTCTTTTGTTACTAACAGGCTAAGCAGTGTTTCTGCAAATAGCCAGCCAGCATCTTTCCAGCAGTTTCCAGCCTTCAATCCCAAAGAAGCTGGTCTCCACCATGGACAAGAATACACCAGTTCTTTTCAATTCATTGATGTATTCTTTTCTCCTCACAACCGTGACCCATTGCCAGCATCATTACTCAGCATCAAAACAGTTTTCTCCAGCAACAGACTCCTCTGCCCAGCAGTGTGCCATTACCAAAGGCTGATGTCAGGGGGTGCTTTATGTTTCACGTCTCCTCATCACAACCAAAGAATCAAGAAATTCTGTTAGGACACATGTTGGAGGATAAGCAGTAAATCAAAAGAACACAGTCACTAAATAGTCAGTGAACTTTCTGATGGAACATAGATATATACAAATTTGGACATGCATAAAGCAACTTACTTGGTGTCAGGTGGTTTTAATGCAAAAGCATAAAGTACTTAATATTTTCCTCTGTTCTGAGATCTGTTTGAATGCCACATTATTATACACGACTATTTGCAATAATGCTTGCTGGGGAGGGGGGGGGGGGGGTGAGGGGGAGAGTTTCCATGCATGTTCAAGGTTCCACAGTGGTGAGCAGAATTTAAACAGGTAACAAAAGACTCTATACCTAAATCTGTAGCACAGTAATAGGGCAGAGTCTCATCTCATCTCATTACTGAGCACAGTTGTGAGACAGAAAACATTTGTCTTTCTAGGGGAGGTGGGTTCACAGGTTGGCCCCAGCTCTGCATGTTTCCTGCCCTGTGGTGTTAGCAAGCAGATGTTACCCCTCTGAAAGGGAAATACTGCTGGATCTACCCAAGCAGAAACTGGTAGGGAGAACAAAGAATAAAAGAAAAACGTAGAGTTAGTCAGATCTGTGGTCCTATTATTATTACAAACAGGAATACTCTTTTAGTTTATCTTTCGGTTGGGGGTGTTCTTCCTCAAGCAGATTCTATTCCCAAACCCAGTCATAATTAAATCTATAATGTGGTGTCATATTGTAGAATCAAAATGAGTCTGAAAGTATAATGGAGACAGAAGTATAGCTTCCTGTGCATATGTATGATAGATACCTAAGGAAGTAGTTAGCTGATAGAATATGTTGAGCTATTGGGTATACTTTGTTGATTTTATGTTAACAAAAAATATAAAGGTAACAAAAGCCAAATTAATAATATACTGATTTATTCAGCCAACAGTGCACACATCTGTGTTTTTGAGCCCTTCAGCTGCCAAATTTCATGGCAAGACTGGAAAGAGAGGGAAAATGATTAAACCTAGCTAATTTGTTTGGTTTATTCAACAGAATGAAAAGCATGCTGCTTAGGCACCTCAAATGGTAGAGAAATAAAGAACTGAGGCTGCTAGTAGTGTTGAAGAAGTGCAAACTGAACTCAGAGTAACTTTTTGTTACAGATAGAGCAGAGCTGGGGCTGAACTTTTGAAAAATTCTATGGCTTGACTCCATCCTGGAGTCCATTTCCATAAGAGACAGCGGTGAGGAGAATGCTTAGACAGCCTTGTAACCCCTGTAACTCTCTGAAGACCACAGAGCATGAAGTACTTTTATTTGAGATGGCTTCAAATCTTGTTTGCAGAGAAAAGTGTGAGTGCCAACCCTCTTTTTCATCTGTAGATCTCAAACGTCTTTCACATGCACTTCTCATGAGTTCATTTACAACCAGCTGTCTTCAGACAAGCTCTTTGTTTCAGCTGGGATCATATTCCAAATTCTGCAGACTATTTGAAGTTAAGCTTAAAAACAAAATTGTCTTTGGCAAAATTAGCAGCTTTTCTTAATGTGATTTTCAAAAATAGAATTAAAAACAACAACAACAACGAAACAGCCCACAAACAAAATGGACATGGAAATAATCTGTGTAGAAGTTCAGACTTTGTCATACAGAAATCATGAGGCTCTATTAGAAAAGTTCTGGGTAATCCTAATTACAGACATCACTACTGTATCCAACCGCAGACAGCATAACTATGTTGATTTCATGGAAATGTGCATGAGAATGGGCTCTAAATGCCTAGTTTTAAAATTTATGGAAAATTTCAATCCACAGGGAAATTTTAAAGGAGAAAAGTCAAATTTATTTGGAAAAAAATAATTTGGTAAGTTGAGTTAAAAGCACTGAAGCACTTCTGAAAGACAAATGCTACAAGCATTAGCTCAAACAGCAGGTGTGTGTTCCAAACATCCTCCAGAAAGCACTGTAGTCTAGAAAACAATAACTGTGTAAATATTTGAGATGAGCAAGTCACTTGGAAGAAGCAGAAATCAGACCCATTACAGAAGTCTAGCTCCTTTTTTGGTTATAGACATTAACACTGCAAGTTCAGCTTCAAGTTCTTTAAGCACCTTTGTTCACTGTGTTAGTAAGCAGTACAAAACAGACATTCATAAAGCTGTAAAGCTTAACTCTTGCTTACTGTTTTCTAACCTGTTAGCAGCCAATTTGTTTGCAATGAAACCTCCTGGAATTTGTGTCACAATGTAACCCCAGAAGAAAGAGCCATGTATGAGTCCCACTGTCTCCGGATCCCAGTTGAATTGAGCTTTCTGCAAAAGAAACAGAAAAAATGTAAAATGAAGCACAGTTATTACTAGGTAAACACTATTTGCAAGTCTCACAGAAGTCACCCCATCCTACAGATCAAGATAATCTCTTTGCACTGGTGTTACTGAGGTTGAATCTTCTCCATTCATGGCAAAATGCTGCCAAATTGATAGGTAGAATTACTGCTTCTGCTCTGTCAGGGTGACTAAGAGAAAAGAGTTCAACCAAAAGGCAGCTGGTGCTGGCCCTTCATCTTTGGCTCTTGCCACTGCTTCCCTTTGTGCTGCTTAGTCTTGAAGACTTTGTTTTCAGGCCTGCTTGGTGATATAAGAAGGATCTGTTGCCTTTCAATGGGCACATCCATTTACTCAACAAGATTGCTCAAGCTGGACTTTGTCTCATCAAGGTACAACTGACCATCCAGCATCTACATTAAATAGTATTATGGGAGCAGAAGACGTTTATAGAAGAATGGGGAGAAGGGTAACATCTGAAGAAGTAATCTAAAAGTTAGGTTAACACCAGCTGACTAGTGTATCTTCTATAAAAAGTGATGCCAATCATAGAGTTGGATTTGGATACAGAATACCATCCCCAAGCAGGTCACAGATGGTTCCTAGCCAATAATTTCTAGAGCTAAGAGAAATATTTCTACATGTCATCCTTGAATACCAAATAGTTTCAGTCTCCTCAAATCTTCCTGATTAAGGGCATTTCTCTGATGAGTCTGTTTTAACATACTCTGTTCAGAAGAGGGATAGTCAAAACCCAGAAAAAAAAAAACATAGAGCAGTGAAGAAAAGGTGACCCAAGGTGCCCCTCCTGCTCATTGTTCTTGAACTCCTAAACAGGGCTTGACTCAGTATAATCACACTAATATAAGGTCATTGTCAACGTTTTCTCCTTGAACCTTCAATTCAGAAGAGCTATTCTGAAGAAAAGAGAAACCATGGTTGTTTTGCTTAATGATTATTTTGGGGCTAATCACATGGCAAGGCAAGGTGGTTAAGCATCACAGCACAGATAGTTTTATATTCTGAACTAAAATCATCACTAAAACATGAAATACGAAAACTTAAGAGGTAGGCCCTAACATCTCCTTTTTTCATATTACTTCGTGTGTATAGAAAGAAGTATATGGAGTTGCAATTCAGTTTTCAAAATATCTAATTTTCTACTTGGCTTCTTAGTGTTAATTTGTAAGGGCTGAGACATCATGAAACATAGAGAAATTTCCATTATCAGGAGAGGCTCATGCCCAGACAGAACAACTTGGTGGTGTTATCTCAAGGGAAACTTAGGGAAACATCAGGTAAGAGTCAGTATTCCTGTGAATAACCTGTTACAACAGAATCCAACAATAAGCAAATTTTGTACATGCACACATGTATAAATGACAACCCAGCCCTGTGCCATGGCAGGACTGGAGAAACTTAGATATGGTTTGAACATACAGTTCATTGGGTGCATTTTTAAAAGTCTGTAGGCATCTTCTGTGAACCAAGTGCCATCCATCACAAATTTGAGATAGCTTGGCCCCTATTTCCAGTTACCTCTAGACAGCATTCCCCGCTGTCAATAACTTGCAAATAACTGTTGCCCTATTGCCTACTTTAAAGTCCTGAAATTCATCCACTGATCTGAATAGGGATTAGTGGTACACAGAACAATTAATAACTCCTTCTGTAGCAGCATCAGGGTGCATTCCCCTGAAAGACAGTAAATGGTAAAGACTTCTGCAGCTGAAACAAAATCTGTCTGCAGCTGAAAGACTGGAAACTTGATAAGCACACAAGCCAACTCAGTTCTCATTTCTGCTGTTTTCTTCCATATGTCATTGCAAATGCTCATAACACACGGATTTTTTGTGTGACTTTGAGACCTAACTAAGCATGAAGAATCTACGCATCTGTAGGAATCCAGACTTGCATGTCTTCCTGCCTCAGTTTTTGACCTCTACATGCACTGTTCTTCGATACGTGGCACTTAACAATTCTCAAAGGTGACAGGTCAGAACAGGAGATAGAGGATGGCTTCTCACCTGCAGCTCTGGTTTGCCATTAATATAAACAGTACTATTGTTCACCATTTGCACGATGGCAACACCCAGATTGCACCGAATTCCAAAGGAAATGCAGAAGCCCAGGCCGCTCATGATGGCGATGATGTAGCGCTTGGGCAGCCCGCAGCAGTAACAGTCACACACTTGAGGCTTGCGGGCGCTGGCCTGCACAGGCCTCCCCTCTTCTGTCAGCTCAATGTGATCCTCCTCGATGTTGGTGCCATCGATTTTCCTAAACAGAAGAAGCAAGAGAAAATAGAAGTGCCTTACTGTGAAATATAGATGGACAATTAGGTGCTGCATTCAGCTTTTAAAGCGCTTCTTTGTGAGGGTTTTGCCTCTTGGCGCTTTGATGAGATCATGCTGGGCATGCACAGCCTGTATTTTTGTCACAAGCAACCCCTAAAGTTCCAAAATCCCAGACATTTGGCTGGACAGCTTGCATAGAAGTGCTTGTGGGCTTTTCACAAGCATCGTTATGAAAGGTCTAATGAGCTCTGCTGTGATAAATCCTGCTGGTTGTTAACAACGTCAATATACACATGAAGAAATCCATCTTAACTTCTAATTAGATCCACTGAACAGACTGGCAGCGAGTTTCAAGGAAAGGGCAAATACAGCATGAAGCATATTTTTTCTCAGATTCAGTTTAGATGTTGGGGGAAATTTTTCCCTGAGAGGACAGTGAAGCCCTGGTGCAGGCTGCCCAGGGAAGCTGTGGGTGCCCCATCCCTGGAAGAGTTAAAGTCCAAGCTGGATGAGACCCTAGGCATCCTGACCTGGTATCCTCATTTAGTGGTCACCAACCCTGCCTTTGGTAGAGGGGGTTTGAACTAGATGATCTTTCAGGTTCCTTCCAACCCAAGCAATTCCGTGATTCTAAGAGCCAGGCCCAGGCTCTCTCTGTCCAAAGGGATTTGATGACAAGTAACCCCTCTGCTGTGAAGTATCACTCACCACAAGAAGTTAGCTCATTACAAAGCTCAATTCCTGTTGTTGAGCATTCTACCTTTTTCTTTAAAATAATTAACGTTCAGTGAGATCTGAAAATTAAGCAACTTTTTGCTCACTGCCCCTCAGCAGCAGAGGCTGTAGGGGCTTCACCTGGGAGCAAATTTTGTGTGGGCACTGCAGTGCAACTGGGGAGGGTCCAGAGACACAGACTTTTCTGTTTACTTAGGAATAGGAGCAAATGGTACCTATGTGTGTCAGCCTGCTCTCACTGCACCAACCATAGGGAGAAGGAGGGCCCATTGGAGGGCAAACAGCTGCTGCCATCAGCCCAAGTTGCACTCTGTAGCAGCATCTTACAATACAGATGGTCTCATCAGTACAACAGTTGCCCATTGCTATCTCCTGCACTTATGGAACTATTTTCCTGTGCTAAAGCAATTAAAAATTATTTGGTCTCCCAGTTCGATTGGAAATACCAACACCCTGTGCTGTAGGAATGGGGAATGTCTCTGGTGGGAAAGATGAGATCAGAAGGAACTGAAGACGCACCATTAAACTGGAGCTAAATACTTCCTTTCCTAACATTAATTTCTAATGCCTTTGTTTTAAATGCATATACAGGCTTTCCAACATGCCAAAACACTTTAGCACACTCTAAATGCATGGCTGCCCTCTGAACACCACCTGCAAGATTAGGGTTAAGTGTTCTCTAAAGGAAAGCCTTGATCAGCAGCTGCGTTAGGAAGCCTTTTAGCTTTGGCACTGCTGTGAATTAGTGGGTGCAGGATCCGGCTTTTTTTGTGTCTGCCATGGAGGTGCTCTCACCACTAGCAAAATGTGAGCACATACTTAATACGAAAGAAGCTTGGCTTGGTGTATAAGATGATGAAATGATTTAATTCATTCTTTTCTGGTAAGGAGTAACTTATTTCCTTCCTTCACACATCTGGTCTGAAATGTATCTAAAATCTAATGCACTTCAGTCTTCCGTATAATAATCGACTACTAAAAAATATTTCCAGAGCACGTATGGTTGGGCTACACTTGGCAACCTACACAGTGGTTGGCTGGCTCTTTCAAGAAAAGTTTTGTGTTTAATCACAGCCTTCTCCAATTCCTTTGTGTCTAAAGTACTGCCCATAGCCTAATGGATGGTATTCCATACTCAAGGTTTTGCAAATACAGATGATATCTGTAGCTTCCTGAGCTGCTGCATGGGGATTTAAATAGGAAATTTCACTTTAAATTGTTAGCATTTATAACTTCCAAGCTCCATTTCTAGCTTCAGGTGCATCATTTGCTATATTACTGTTTTTTTACATCGTATAATAAAACTGTTAATCTAGTTTTACTCTCAGCAACAAGAAAAAAAAAAAAAAAGCAGCACGATGGAATACATCAGTTCACATTTCCAAGAAATACCAGAACTGAAATGGTTATTTGATTTAACCCCTTGCTCAGAGCAGTGCTAACTGTGAAGTTAAATTGGCTTGGTTTAGGCTGGAGTGTGGACTTTGCATTAAAGCAAGGAAACACAGGAAACATGATAGGATTGTGGTATTATTGAAGGTAACTGAGATCTTGCAATCCATCAGCAAAGAGACAGCACTGTTGGTGAAATGAGAGTACAGACAGAAACACGGCAAGGCACTTTAAAAGAAAGACCCTGTGTTTTCCTTGCTCTATGTGCTCATGACAGCTGGTGTAAACCATATAAAATGTCAAAAATGAAGAAGGCAGGAAAAAAAAAAAAAGACAAAGAATTATTTCTAGAGCTATTATTGTTAACTCAAAAGATCTATTAACAAAAAAACAAAAAGTAATTTTATTGTCTTACTCCAGAGTAAACTAAGATACTGAATGAATTAAAGCTTAATTCCTCATTTTTCTGTACTTTTATCACTCTGTTTATATGAGAGAGATTATGCTTTAATTGGCGCATCATTTCTGGACAGCTGGCAAAGATTGGACATATCATCCAAAGCAAAAACATCTGCTCCTTTCTGGATGCTTTCAGCAAGCTGTCAATTCACATAGGCATGAAAACATACTTTGACTCCAAATTCACTGTTGGCAGTGTTAATGCAGGACACTATTGTCCAGCATCACTTCTGCAGTGCAATTGTTTTGCTACTGTATTCAAGTACTCACTAATAAAAGCAGATTGAGAACTGATTCATGACCTCAGATAATCACAGAATATTTGGTATCTTGAAAGCTTAACATTAACCGTTCTACTATAGCAGAGGTGTCTCAGAGAAAACAGTTCCAAATCCAAAAATGAAGCTGGAGCAAAGTGTAAGCAGTGCAAGCTTTCACACAGTCTGTGTTTGACCTTGCATTTTGGCCTTATGTCACTGAACAGGGTAAATGTAGAATGGAGGTATGACAAATCCATAAAGGATAAGAAATAGATCTTACAGCTGATCAGTATCATTTGGCAGTGCCATTGAAATTTTCCTTGTTGTACACTAATAGTTCAGAAGAGAGCTGTTCAGAAACAGTCTTCTCTTTAATTATTTGAATAATGCTGAGAACATTTTGCTGGAAGATGTTTGTTTGGTATTTATATCCCTCTGATGATTTCAGCAAACACGGAACACTTGGCACACAAGAACATCTTGGCTGTTTGAAGATATCTACATCTATATTCCATACCCAAATATTATAATTACTGCATGTAACATTTCTGCATCTGACATTCTTTCTCTTCTTTTCTGAAGAGCTTTAACTCTCAGTCATGTAAAGTTTTGGAAGAATGAAAGTTTTTAAAACTTAATCAGTCATAAATAAAATTCATAGTATACATACACATTTACCAATCTGCAATTTATGCATTTTAGCATAGGAATTAGTTGTTCTTCTAATTACGTAAGTGGGATAGAGCCGCCCATGTTGCTCTGAAAGTAATGCCTCCTATTTATTCCTGAGGAAACCACAACTGATACAAAGAACATAACAACAATATCTAATAGAGAAAATTATCAGCTAGAAGATACTATTTTTCAGCACAGTCACCATCATTAGCAGTGCACTTTCACCAGCCACGGACAAAAGCCTGCAAGCTGTTCTTGTCAAGATCTGCATCAGGAAAGATGACTTTACAGCTGCTATCCTGACATCATTGCCAGGAAAACATTGCCCACACAGTCCAACTTCCACTGTGCCCAGATCAACTGTTTGGTCTCCATAAGCATTCAGCCAGTGTCAATGAATATCAATGGTTACAATATTTTCCACACTGAACAGTTCACCTACACACCTTTGCTTCATCTACTCTTCCACGTCAGAGGTCATTCTGTCAGACTGCCTTTCTGCTGCCATCTATTGCATGCCAACAAAACGTAAAAGAATATTGGTAGAAAGGTTCTATTGCCATACCACCAACATTCACCTCTGGCATCATGGGCAAATAGAATAAAATAGAAGGCATTATTTTTGGAGCAGCCCTCATCTATTATTTCATTTAATTTGGTTAAAACCCCATGGATTCCACAAGAAGGAGAAAACATTAATTCTTGCCATGTATTAAAACACTTTATCAAATTAATTCTACCAGACTACATTCTTTCATAGCCAGCAGAGCCATAGGTGCTCAAACTTCGCACCTACATATACAACAGTCACCGCACACAACAGTTATTGATGATCCTGATGTAATTTCAGAATCCTACACACAGGCTATTGAAAAACATTATTTATCCAAAGGCAGAAACAAGCGCTTGAGATCGCATCTACTCTGCAGATTTGTTTGCGTGATGATGCAAATCTGGAAATTGTTGCAGTAGTGCAGCATTCCTGGCAGAAGGGCCTGTCCAGCACAAGGGCAGACCAAGCAGCTTCAGGTTGCAGTTTTTAGCTGACTGGGATGTCTAATTCATTAAGGGCAGTCTGCAGGTGCTGCACCTAGCAGGGCCCAGACTACAGTCAGCAGCTGTGTGACACAGCCCATGTTAATTCTCACATTAACCATGTTGTTATTGGCAGGTGAACCTGTTTGGCTTCTTCCCCCTCTGTGGTAAGCCCATTGCTGCCACTAGCTGACCAAGGACTTCTGAAATCCTCAGGATCAGAAGAGCCTTGAATTCACATTTTTTTCTTTGCATACACTGAGCACACAGATGGCCAAAAGTGTTTGTACCTGTCAAGAAGTTCTGCAGAAAAAGTTTTCTCTTCTGGGAAACTTAAAGTGTTCTCAGATCTCCAGCGTTACTTACTCAGGTCTTGAATCCTCTAAATCAATTTTATTCGCTGCCCTGCTGTATTTAACTAATTAAGAACAAGCCCCCTTTTGCCTCTGGTGAATTTATTCCAGCTGGTGGTACTCTAAAAACAAATGGATATTTCTCTGAGGTGTTACAGAAGAAAATGCCCAGAGTTAGGATGCTTCCTACATCTCTCCTGTTCCATCTCCTTTGCCCTTCACCAGCCCCTCAGCTACCACAAGGCAAACTCCTGGGGGCAGAGTCCTGTTTTGCAGCACCCACAAAATATTTGGAGGCTGCTAACCACCCTTGGGGAGGCAGTGCATCACTTCTGTCACATGCTTGAGCATCAGAATGTATCAATCTTCAAGCAATTGCTGTGAAGACAGGAGCTGGTAGATGGCCTTGCCAGACATCAGTTGCTGGATCTTCTCTCTTGTTTGATGAAATGTAGGAGGAAGATTTAGGCTCATCATATTTATCAAAGCTAAGAGTACTTTTTCTAGACGTTTTGCTGGTTACTATAGCCAATGCATCCTCAGAGACCTGACCAGTGCTAATACAACTACCCACCTACAAATGTGAGAAGTGAAGCCAAATTCTTTTTTGTTTACAACATATTAGAGTCAATTAGCAAAGCTGGGGTCACAACTGGTAAATACACATATGTACCATCACATAATATATAAGTATACGCTCTTTTTTATAGGCTAGTTGTGGAAAGTTAACTTCAAGTTAAAAACACGTTTCCTTCAGAAAACTTTGGATGTGACTGCACATTTCCTAAGAGACTGCTAAAATTGACAGTTCTTGCTTGGGTCTGATTGCAGACACAGTAAGAAAACTTGCATCATTTGGAGTATTTCCTCCATTGACCCATACATTTAGAAAAGGCACAGGCAAACCTGTGTTTAACACAGAAAATGAGGAAGTTCCACAAACTTTCTTGTATGTCAGCTCAGATCTGTTCACACTGGAACAGGTTGCCCAAGGAGGCTGTGGATGCCCTATCCCTGGAGGCATTCAAGGCCAGGCTAGATGTGGCTCTGGGCAGCCTGCTCTGGTGGTTGGTGACCCTGCACATAACAGGGGGAGTTAAAACTCAATGATTATTGCAGTTCTTTTCAACCCAGGCCATTCTATGATCTGTTCTGCTCTGATTCAGCAGTAAAGTTGATGAAGTTAGGTATCAGTGGTATTAGCAGAGCATCCCTGGTTCACAGCTACAAGAGGAAAGAGATCCAGATCATCCAAAGCCTTTGTGCCATGGGCACATGGCAAAACCTCCATACTGGCACACTAGATACAAACCCTGAAAGTATTTGGGTAAGTTAGCAAAAGAAGGCTATAGTGCTTAGAATGTGTGACTGAATGAACAACTCCTTGCAACTATGTGGAAGGAGATAACTCCATTCAGGTGGTATAGGAACAGTGTAATTGGCAACATAATGGTGAATGTTCCACCAAAGTATACATGCATGTTTTTCCATACATTCACAATGTAGTATGGTACACATGAATTATTGTACATTTTCTTGTGATCAAATGCATGTTTGGATGTGCCAAGAACCATACCTTGACTCAAAATAACTTTCCCAAGAGAAAGAAAGAAGTTACACACAAAAGAAAAACACTAAAAAGATGTAGGATTCAAATAGTACCCTGACCTTTGCAAAGATGAAGAACACATGAAGCCTGCCAGCAATGCCACTAGGCTCCCTGCTTCTCAGCTGTCCATTGCACATCTCAGTACTGCCAGTAGCCACTCCAATAGAAACAAGCTTCCCTGTAAACTAACAGTCTTATTGACCAAACTAGTCATCTGTTACACTGTACTTTCATTTATTCCAAACCAAAAATCTTGGTTTACTGTCTTGTAAACTGACAGATTAAGTTATAAATCCTTGACCCTCCTTTTGCAAACAGCTCCTGCTTTCCTTTGTTACTCTCAATAAGCATACAAGCGCACACACACGCAGCTGAACTTGGTACTTTACTTCTATTTGTTTTCTCTTATCATGTTAGTAAGTGAAAAAAAGATTCTCCAGAATTCCTCTGTAATTTAGGAATGTTAAATCTGATTTCAAGAGTGACATAATTTGGGACAGTTAATTCCCATTAAATAATCATTTTTTCTCGTGCAAGATAAACAGAATAATTCACATTTAATCACCTGGAGGTTTTCTTAGTTAAAACCCTTCTTCACGCGCTTTGTAACATCAGAATAGTATTTTATAACTTATTTTCACCTCTCCTTTGCTCGGTATAAATATTATCTTATCTGCAGCCACACGCTGCTCCATGCCACTCCTCTGGCACAGTTTGCTTTGCATAGCAGGGCGTCTCACACTGTGGGGATTCGGTAATTTTGCAACTCCAAATTGTTTAACATTCAGAGATTTTTTGATACTTCATTTCTCTTTAAGCAATGTAACCAATGGATCTCGCAAGGAATTTGCTATCGGATTTTACCTTCGCAGATTCCCCAGTGAGTCGCTAACGGTGTTCTTCACCTCTTCCTTTCCTGGGTTAAAAAACCTTTCCTTCAGCGAATCAAACCCTTTGAAAGGCATGTTGTCCTTTTTCCTGTCGTTAACAAGCGCTCAGTTCTGTTGACATATTTCCCGATGCCAGACTCAGGAGCCTGCGCCGGTCCCCTCGGTGACCCCTAAAATGTCAACCAGTTGCTCAAGAAAGGAAAACAGAAAGAAGAATTCAGAGCAGATCTTCCCAAGCCAGCAGGCCAGTTCAGGAGAGCGGTAGCGTGGAACCCCTGGCAGTGCTCAGGGTGTCAGCAGCACACTTGCAGCAGCTCCACCGTGCATCTGTACACCTCTCGCTGCTTTGCCAGGGCTCGTCCTCTCCGCCTGCCTCCCTCCTCCCTCCCTCCCTCCTTCCATACCGAGAGCTGTGCGAGGTGGTGCTATAGTAACAGGCACAATACCTGTCCTCAGGTCACACCGGTTCAGGAGCAGGACCTCATCTACAGCAAAGGCAAGAAGTTTATTAAAAATTGATGAGCCCTTTCCGCAGCAAGGGGAAGGCAGGCTGCGGCGCTCATTCTCTATTTACGCCAACCCAGGTGGGCCTCTGCCTTCTGCATCTGCTGAAGGACCTGTGGCCTCTGTCCCGGCCCTAGCATTAATCATGGATGCTGCCAGCCCCTTGGGCTGACAGGCACAGAGATGCACTGCCACAGTGCTGTTTGACTCATAGAATCACTGAGGTCGGAAAAGACTGCTAAGATCACGTGGTTCAATCAAGCAGCGCAAGACTGGCCGTGAATTAAACGCGGTGTATTTTCAAAACACAGGGTGGTTGAAAAAGGTGAACCGTTTCAACTCAGCCTGAATTTGTGATGGTAACATGCCTTTCCTAGCAAGGAAAAGAAGCATTTCATGCAAATTCCTGTGGAAATGCTGCCTCACCAAGCCTCCGTGTTGGCTGGAGTCAAACAGAGCAGGCCTCACTCATCAGGGAGGGGAAAGCCTGGGAACTGGGGAGGCTTTACTAGGCTGGAATCTCTCTTGCTGCAGAACTGGTTACTGTTTCTTTCTGCCTCTTGAATAATTGACACACTCTACAGCAGCTTTGGAAAACTCTAGGTTCAGCACAGGTAACCAGCACATTGGGTCTAGAAAACAGCCCTCCCACAGTGAGCAAAAGGGGAATGAGGCTGTAAGACCATCTCCTAGCACTTACCACCCATGCACCTCTGGCAGGGTAGCAAGGTCATTGCTTTGGGAACATGGGCCCAAGTACAATCACCCATACACAGCAAAGCTGGGTCTCCACTTTTCAAAGGGGATCCATAAAACAAGGTATAAATATTTGTAGAGATACGCACATGTAGAGCATATAATGAAAGTGTCTTACATTTCAGTAAATATGTATTTGCCTTGTAAGAGAGCTTGCTCATCTTGACAAATGGTTTTCAATCCATCTTTTCCAGAAGCTGTAGAGCAGAAGCTTTTAATTTGCCCCCATCCCAGTCTTCTGGTCCTGCTTCAGTTAAAGGGAGCACACAACAGAAAGAAGCTGTGCTCCACACTTAATGCCTTATTCACCTATCCACACACACATTAGTTGCATTTACTGTGAAATCTGTCTTTCATGCAGTTGGAAAACTTTCAAGCAGCTTCCCCAGAGCTTTGCATCAAGTGGGTGGGTATGTTCCCCTCATGGCCAGCAACGCTCTCTCCCCACCTCTGAAGATGCCCAAGGCCATGTTGGATGGGGCCCTGTGCAGCCTTATCTGGTGGGTGGCAGCCCTGCCCATGACACGGGGTTGGAACTGGGTGGGCTTTAAGATCCCTTTCAACTCAAACCATTCTCTGCTTCTGTGTTGCACACCTCACCTCTAGTACAACTGTCCATTTCTGACAGCAGTTGTCACCTCTCCCTGCCCTTCAAGGTTTGCAATCCTTCCACTGCCTGCAGTTCTGCAGAACAGAATCTTTTCTGCAAGGCTTAAAGCAACAGTGTTGCTAACTCACATTTATGCAGGGAGGCTTCTAAACAGGAGCAGCACAGCTTCTTTCTTCCCCCTCTCTGGGTTCAAAGGCTGGCAAAAGACCCTGATTCCAAGCAGCTGAGGCAGGTCCAAGGAGCTCTGCAGGGCTCTGTTCCTGATGGACACTTTCCATGAAGCATCACACAACTCCCAACAAGAATGCGCTGGAAGAGGCAATTGCAACCTCTGTGCAATCCCTGTGTGTATTTTGGAGCACCATCTGAGCACAATCCAGGTCTGCATATGCAAATAAATACTTTGTGAAATTAAAATTACTCCTGGCTACATACAGACTGTAGCTATAACTGGAACTACAGACTCATATCACAAAAGGCTCTTGCAAGGCTATATTGAAACTGTATTTTAGAGACATAAAACCAGTATGTAGACAGTGACTGCTGGGGCTCACCTGCTATCATTATGGGTGCTCAAGAATAAAATGAGTTTTAAGAAAACTCAGATGCTGACTCTGACTCTAACTGTGCATGGAGGGCACATAGCTGGATTCAGGTTGGCAGCATCCTCTCAGGAATGTCAGGCAAGAAAACATCGGAGCTAGGAGGAAACAATTCTCAGTTGTACGTGGTTAAGTAAATGTACACCTGGAGGCTACCTACTTTGTTAGAGCTGTTTCTTTTGTTGAAAAGCCTAGAAAAATCATCTTTATACTGCTTCCGCTTTTGACTGCTCAAAATAATGTTTAGGGTAAAACCTGTCAGTGAAGGGGAGAATTTTGCTACTGCTTGCAGTGTGGGCTGGATAGCATAGACTTTACACACGTGGTGTCATTTAAAAGGCACACCTCTTTTGACTGTGGTCCCTGACACAGCCTTGCAGGCAGACATTTCTACTAAGGCTTGTAAACAAGAAAAAAAACCAACACTCAGGAGACCCTACAAAAGTCAGTTTAACCGTCTAGTTTTGGAGAATTAGCAGATAATTCTTTCAGTTCAGGCCAGCCTTCACCAAAGGCTGCTGGGGTCCCTCATGGAACCATACGCAGGTGTGCAAAGCATCCTGAAGCCTGGCCAGTCCAAGGCATACTGTTAATTTTTAATCTGTTTCTTCTCTGTTTCAGGCCATGTGATCATGTCCCTGTTGCTTGTGAGCTGCTTATTGGATCACTCTTGTTATTCCTTTAGAGAAATATCATTTTGTAAAACTGGTTAAATCTAAAGCAGAGCAAGTTTGACAATGCTCTTCTCACAGACAAGACCTTGTTTAAAAGCTGCCTCAGAGATTTGATGGCATCTTAACAAGTGTGTGCTACCCTGCTGCTTATTGCTTGAAGTAATGTAGCAACTACTCCACTAAAAAGTGTTGAAATTGGCTCAATAATTAAAGGAAACATAGAATAACAGACAAGATTATCACATGTACTTTGTAGTGGTAGGATAATGCTAAGAGCCACATTAGGTGCTCCAAGAAATCGTAAGAATATAAATTAGAAAGCATGAGAGTCCTTATCTAAATGGATAGATTTTGCTTTCCTCTTTTCAGACAGAATTAAAGTCATTCAAAGCTGAACTTATCAGCTCACCTCAGGAGGCAAAGCATTAAGTAACGCAGATAAAACTCTCACAGCAAGAGGCAGGAGTTGTAATGTGGCACTTCTGAGCACAGGGCTCTGTGCACAAGGAACAAGAACACTCAGATGACTCCTGATGGTCAGCTCCTTCAGTGGAGGGGACTGCAGAGGTCTGTAACCAGTCATTTCCTAAGAAAAAAACAAACTGTGAATTTTATGTGAGAGTCTCTTTCAGCCATGGTATTTCCAAGAGAAACCATAACTACAGGTACGGTAAACAAAACCAAGAAAAAGAACATATCTGAATATCTGGAGGTACTCAAACCCCCCCTGGACACGCTCCTGTGCAACCTCCTGTCGGGGTCTGCTGTAGCAATCGGGTTGGATGTGATGACCTCCACAGGTCTCTTCCAGCCCCTGTGATTCTGTGAAGAAACAGAGACTGGGGATGTTAACAGCAAATCAATAATGAGAGGAAGAAATAGCTTTCTTTATTGGAAACTGCTAATAGAATGAGAATTTCTTGCACCTTACACAGTGAGTATATTTCTATAATATTTGCAATTTACTTGAAAGTTGCTTGGGTTACAGTGACACCTTATGGTAGTTTTATTGTATTTTACAGGTCGTTTGGAAAGTTAAGATCTCTGAAAACCTTTAAAGCCTATCACTGCCAGTGAGGAACTGCTCTGATATATTTAGAAAGCTTTTTCCTTTAAGTTGCTCAAATACATGCTTAGAATATATTGTAAATTACTTAAAAAAAAACACTGAACAGCTAATATTTATTTAGCTGTTCGTGTGCTTGTGTATAGGTAGGAAAATGCTTTTCTCACATTACGAGTCAGCTCCCAGTCTACCAAGCAACTGCAATGTAATGATGTGAGTGCAGGGAGCTTCATAGATCCAGGACAAAAACACATCTGTCTCTAGCAGCAGGAGAAGAATGTCAAGCGAACCACTGCTTGCGTAACTCCCCCAAAATTGCTCATTTCTTACATTCCTCACAGCTTCAAACATGATAGACTAACAGCTTCATAAACACTGACATAAGAATGGTTAATCTAAAGCTTTGGTATATTATATATACTCAAAAGGAGGGACTAGAGATACTAAGTAAAGGGATGAAGTGGAGACATACTTCATCCAGCATCAAGGTGCCCCAGGTAATGAATAATGAAATGCAAAGTTCTTCACCTTTTCCTGTTAGGCACATAGGTTAGCTGCATTAATGAAAGAATTTGTGAAATTGTGATTTCTAAGGCGCTGCAAACCAACCCAGAACATGTGGATTACAGCACTTTCTTGCACAAGATACAGACAATAGTTACAGATCCAATCAGTGCCTAGGAACAGAGAGGATGAAGAGAACCACTAGGACAGAAAAAGGCACTCAAGGCAGAGATCATGACTGCAATTTTCACTGTGGGATGCTGTTGAGTTTATCTTTATTGGCACTTCACTCTCTTCTCTCCTATGACCAGTGAATGAAATACGAGAAAGCTGTTCTCCCTGCTGTACTTTCCTCTCTTACCAGCACCAGCCAAGGATGATCCTTCTAAGCAGATGAGATCTCTGACATCACATAGTTGATCAATTAATGTCATTGAAAAATTTGACCACCACCTTCCTTCAAAGTGCTGGTAAACTCAAGAGCCTGACAACGCAGCAGAGCTTGAAACCCAAGTTCAAAGTTAAGTGATGTTTCTTAAGAAATGAACAGTGAAAATGAAAATTTAGATCACTATGTGGCATCAGAACGCCAACTTCAAACACGGGCTTAGCGTGCTTTCAGAAAAAGTAAATGTTAATGTCAGTTATCCTACCTGTCAGTTCTTCCCCACAACTTCTGTTCCTTCCATGAGGGAAATACATGATCAAATTTCACAGGCACCACTTTAAGAAATGAAATTATGTTCCATAAACTATAATTCAAACAAAATACAAAGTGATAAGGTTCTCCACAGAAGTTAGCATTTTATGGAGATTTAAAATAAAATTATCTTTCAACACAAATATATGAAAAGTTCATTTATTTCCATAGGCAACCTCATTCACAGTACAAAGTGATAAGAATTTCTCAAAACAGTCACTGTACCTTTTACATATTTTCAGTAATTGATCTAAAAGTTGATACAAGAATAAATTTGTTTTTGAAGAGCTGTCCATTAAATTGGAGATACACCAATGCCATGCTATGACAGTTCTAATCATGAATCACAGCTGACACTACAGTAACACTACTTCATAAATGAGGATCTTCATGTTTTACAATCAACACATAAAATTGCCACTAGTACAGAGACTGTACGATTAGACAAATAAACAAATATTAAATATTTTGCACAAGGCCTGAGTTCACTATAACATATTTTGATTTACAACTTCATCTCAGAAATCTGTACAGCAGTTAGAATTGTTTCAGAGAACTCAAAGACGATACAACTTCACAGGCTCGTGTGTTCGGTTGATAGAGGTGTGAGGCCTGGAAGGCAAGAGGATTTGGTGTATGAATTCAAGGTTTTACTGCCTTGCGTAATTTCTTTGTAAAGCAGCCAAAACCTACTGGAAAGATAGATACAAAGCAGGACCTCACGTGAAAATCAGCTCAATCACCCGAAAATCTCCAGACAGGTTTCCTCACAGCTATTTCAGAATAAAAGTTCATAATAGAGTATATAAAATGCAGCATATCTCTTAACAAAGAACATAAAAGGGTTATGTGTACAGCAAGATATTTCTGTATTCGCCTTCCTCACGTTTCTTTAGCTGGAAGTGGCACAAATCAGTGATATTTCCCTCCTCCACAAATAACTCATCAATGAACAAAAATCACTGTGAAAACAAGGGACTCAGTCTTCACGAACTTACCTTTTAAAAACCATTCTTTTCTGCTCAAATCATGTAGGTATGGGCAGACTAACCGAATTAATTTATAATACATAACAAAGCAGCATGTAATCGTTTGCCCAAATGGAAGCCTTGTAGAATTTGAATTAAATTTTAAACTACTTTTTTTTTTTTCTTTGCTCTCCTGGGTTCCCCTCGAACTGAAAAAAAATCTGTAGTCTTGTAGTCTAAATACACACTTACCTATCTGTAGACATACACACAAAAGACGTTACAATACTAAAGCTACCACACTTTCCTTACTCTAAGGTGCCACTGGGATATTTATGGAAATGTATGTGAAACAAATGTTGCTACAAACCTTAACAGAAAAGTTTTAAATCGTTAAGACTTAGGTGCACAATATTTCAAGCATTAAAAACGAAACCTTTTACTTGGAGTACTCAGCACCTGGGCAGACCAGTAAGGCCTCAACTTCCCCAGGCCATTTCTAATTCACATCACCATTCAGAGAGGAAGACATACAGTATTCAATAAAACGAACTAGGAAACATCCTATCTCTGTTCTCAGTAAAATTTCTTACTTTGTCTCTCCCATACAGCTGGTGATTCTCTAACTTTCAAAAGACTGGTTCTGCCCTTCAGATAAGACGACTTCACAGGCCTTACTATGCCTTATCCACAAAACGTGTGGGGAAAAAGAAAATCTGCTCCTCCCTCCATCCTTGAAATGACACTGGTGCCATTTCATTTCCGCTTCTCTCCTCTTGAAAGAAGCAGCAACTACTCAGCTAGCTACTACAAAGCTCACTACTCAATATGCAACTAGTTTCAAGGTTCCTCTCCATCAGCCCCAGTAGTTTCTCAGGCCTCTTTAATACCATCCTTCCACCTACAGAATTAATTTTCTAAGACTGGGTTTTTAGAGAATGCTTCAGAGGCTTTCACACTTCGAGAATTTTGAACCAACAGTTCTAATATGGAAAAACTGCTGTGTTGGTACGAGAGTGTTCATTTAACATACACCAGAGCAGCCAAAGGACAACTGATGCTTACGCTTAAGATACGCAACAATTTGCAACAATTTCTACTTCTCTTCTTTGCATTTCTCCTTTTTTGTAAACATTTCATAGACAAATCAATCAAAAAACATTTCACCCTTCTTGTCTTTGCTAATCCTTTACAAATGAATGGGAAGTAAGGAGGAGGGCCAGGCAAGCAAAACGGGCGTGCAGGGCAGAGGCTGTATGGTGATGATTCAACCAGTCAGCTTCCACACTTTTTCCTTTAAATTAGGTTGAATATAAAGGGTAGAAAGTCTGTGTAACTTACAGAATTGTTCAGATAATGAAGACATATTTTATATCAGGTTACTTTTCCACTAAATAATTTGCAATTTCTTGAACAGATACCAGTTTTGAATTTGTGTTATCCGTTTTGTTTTGCATTAGGGCTGAACAGTCTCCTCTACTTCAGGTCAGCTGAGATGCAGAACTGTTTTCCATCCAAGTCAAGAGATGGAAGGTCTCTGGAATACCCACATTTTGTAATATGGTTCCTTCCTCCTACTCCTTTCCACAAACTGAAATGGATCTGAAGCACAACCGTTGCTTTCAAACACTGATGTTCACTCCGGCCATAATAAAAGTCTTTCATCCTCTTGCAGGGCTTCAGAATGATGATGTACAAGTGAATACATGAACTGGACAATGGTTTCTAAGGAAAGGCTATTGTAGCTGGAGCCAAGTGGCACATGGCACATTGGTGACTTACCTCTTGCAACTCCTCTTCCCTTCAAGTTAAGCAGAAATAATTGAGATGTTCAACATTCGGTTCTCTGACACACTGAATAGGAAGTATGTGCAAAAAAGAGGGATGCGATCCTCTGATTTTAACTGAAATTACTTTTCCAATTTTATTTTTTAGTAACTGGAAAAAAATTCTATGATTTTCATAAGCTCCCTGTTTTCTTTGTTTCTATTCATCTACTCTGGACATTCTGAAAACTGAGGCTAACAGAGAAATCAGAATGATGTGTGGAAATGTGAAATAAGAAACATTTCATATTATTTGAGCCACATAAAAATATTATTCCAACACATCAGTATCACAAAAAAGAACCTTAGTTTTATCCTGTAGGATATTTTTTGCTGTGTTCTTACCAAATATATTCTTCAACAGTAGATGCCAAAAGTATACGCCTCAAACCCCAGAGTTCAGAAATCTTACACATAAAATTTGATCACAATATAATCAAAATTTTTCAGTCAACTTTCTCTCCATAAATTAAATCTAAATGAAGTTCTGAAATTTCCCCAGGACAAGAGGATCAGCGGCTAAAAAGCAAGATCAGGACACTGATATTTAAGACTGCCTTTACCATAGATATATTAATTACATACACTGTAGAGTCCCAAGACATGTTATTTTGAATATAACCTTCTTTCCCAAATAATTCAGAGGAATACAGATTCAAGTAATTTTTCAAAGTCTTGACTTAAGTTATCCTAACAAAATGTAGCTTTCAAAAAGTTGATGTAAAAGAAAAACATTAGTGTGATTGAGAATATAGAGTATTAGTAACTTTAAATGGATTTAAATAATTTAACAGTTCTAGTATAGTACTTAGGTTTACAGAGATACCTTAATGATGTTTACCATGAATATTAACAGCACATAAGCATCACAATCTGTTAGGCTTTGTTTTCTAAACCATAATTTCACTGGTCCCAGGTATTCTAAAATAATAGGGCTAAGGCAGCAGCTACAATACATGAACAATTATTTGGGAAATATGCTTAATGCTATTACTACTTAGAGTTGTTGAAGTATAACAAAATACATGTCACATTTACAGCATAAGGCCCTTTGGTTTCTTAAGCAGCAAATGAAAGAACAATTTCTTCAGTGAAAGGCTTTGAAAAATAAAGCATGTAGGCTTTCCATAAAAAAGTAACTAGTTCTTTCCTTCTTGAAATAGCCAGCTAGAGTCTCCAAAATATTACATAAGAAAGTTCCTGAAATTCTGAGGAAAGAAGTTAAAATCCAACAGTAGTATCTGACAAAGCAGAGATTCTATCATGGGCAAGCTGAACGTCTACCTTCTGCAAACTAGAACAAACTACTGCTTCTTTTTCTGGAGAGCTTTATTAAATTTGGAGTAATACAATAAAAAGGATCTGAAATATCTGTGTATTTGTCATATATTCTAGAGCTTACAAATCTGTATTTGAGAACTTACTTCACATTCATCTATCCTCCATAACAACTTGAGTTAAAATAAAACTAAAATGAAATAGTTTATTCTAGTCAAGGCAATTAATGGCAGTCTGCTTTTTCACAAAATCATGTGAAACTTCTAGGCAGGCAACTCTTTCCCATCTTCCCAACAGTGTCCAAACCAAGTAATTCAAGACATTTCCGTTACCAAATCAACTGTAAGAAATTGGGGCAGTCAACACTTGAATTTTACAGACATTTTTTTTTCTGGGAAATTCTGAAACTACTCATACCGTTCTTTTCTTCCCTCTCACCAGTCAAAAGCAGTATCCAGCAAACAAAAACTATCCTGAAATGAATAGCAAATGTGACTGAATCACCACACGTATTTTTAAATCCTGCTTATGTGGTATGTGGCTTTTGCCATGGAGTTGGTAACAAGGATCTGATGTTATAAAACAGGTTGTCAACTGTAGCAGAACTTTCCCACTGCTCAAAGTTTGCACAGAATTTTAAAACCATTTTATCTTGTAGTTTACTACCACATCGATTCTAATTATCTCACAAGTGAAGAAAGGCAGAATGTTTTTTCATAGTGTCTCACACAGTTATCAGGTAG